GAACTCACACAGGGGAGAAACCATATAAATGCATAGAATGTGGAAAGAGCTTCAGTCGGAGTGATAACCTTAGGTCACATCAAAGAACCCATATAGGGGAGAAACCATATAAATGCATGGAATGTGGAAAGAGCTTCAGTCGGAGTGGTGACCTTAGGTCACATCAAAGAACCCATACAGGGGAGAAACCATATAAATGTATGGAATGTGGAAAGAGCTTCAGTCAGAGTAGTACCCTTAGATTGCATCAAAGAACTCACACAGGGGAAAGACCATACAAATGCACAGAATGTGGAAAGAGCTTCATTCGGAGCGATACCCGTAGGTTACATCAAAGAACTCATATAGGGGAGAAACCATAGAAATGCGTGGAATGAAAAGATCTTTATTCACAGTGGTGTCCTTAGGTTACATCAAAGAACTCGCACACAAAAGGCAGCTGAATGATGTGAGTTTCCAGATAGTGTTTGAATAACATAGATTTAAACTAGGATGTAAATTTAAGTTAAAACCTGGAGGGCAATCAAATTGTAGGAAAGCAGAAAGTCAATTTGATATTGCAAGATAAATAAATTGGATCTCAGTACATATTGTATTTTCCTCCTCCTTTCCCCATGATATCCTTTACCTTCTGTACCACTTACCTTAACCCAAGTTATTAATAATAAACCATATGAAAGCACTGAATGTGGAAAGCTTTAATTAGACAAATAGCCTTAGTTCTCATCAGAGAACTCAGATGGGGAAAAACTGTAGAAATATACAGAATGTGGATAGAGCTTCACTTGAACAGGTAATCTTAGCTTCTGAAGTTTTCAAAACATTTATCTTAATGGGAGGCAGACCTGTTGACCTTAAATTGAAAACTGCTTTTTAAAAGATGCTTCAGATGTTCATTATAAATTAAAGCTTTTAGAAAAATTACAGCTGGGGATGCAATGTCCTTTGCAGATCCTTGTTTTGGTTTTTAAAAACCTACTGATAAGAGGGCATAAGTAGCTCATTCAGTTTGCGCTGGATTCCTCTGGAAAGAATAGACAACAAATGCTGACATGAAACAGAAAAGAGAAAAAATGGAGAGTATTTTGAAGTACCACCTGTGATGTGTTTTATTTCTAACGTCAATTAACAAAGAGATGCAAGCTCTGGTCTCTTCAGATCATGGACTGCACTGGGTCAGAGGAGACCAAATCCTTTGATCCTCAACATCTGAGCTTCTCAGAGGCTGGGAAACCAAAGGGGGAACAGGCTGGCTGGAGCAAACTGTACACGTGCAAGGAGCATTCCTGAATGGCCACCACAGACTACCTGCCCAAGACAAATTAGATTCTGCCCCCTGCATGCTTCAGCTCACACAGTTTCAGCCCATAGACCGAGCCCACTGGGAAGATGCCTACAAGAATTATGACCGAGGAAGACACGGTGGGCTTTGAAGAGCACTGCAACATTGCTCCCATCAGTCTTTCTGAAGAACTGACACTAAATATCACAGTTGACATTTTATTCATTCATTTTCCATTGGGTGAAGGAAGGTCATAGGGAAGGGGATTTGGATCAGAGTTTAGATTAGGCATCCTTCAGTCTTGAGAGACTATGGTAATGTGCTCTGAATGGAGGACTTGGAACAGCATCTAGTGTGGCTGCGAAGGCCAGTTTGAGAGTGACAAGCCCTTCCACGCAGAAGACACATACAATCTGTCCCCTGTCCAACTGTCTGATTTTGTTGCTTTCGTGAGTGCCTCTTTGCCTCGGCCTGCTGGACAAAGGTCTCTTCAAATTGGGAGAGGCTGTGATGCACTGCCTGCCTCCAGGTTGAATGCTTAGATGTCAAGGTTTCCCATCTGTTGAGGTCCATTCTTAAGGTCTTCAGATCCCGTTTGCAGATATCCTTGTATTGCAGCTGTGGTCTCCCTCTGGGGAGATTTCCCTGCACTAATTCTCCATACAGGAGATCTTTTGGAAGCTGACCATCAGCTATTCTCATGACATGCCCAAGCCAATGTAGACGTTGCTATTTCAGTAAAGTATACATGCCAAAAAATTCCAGCTCAATCTAGGACTACTCTATTTGGAACTTTGTCTTGCCAGCTGATACCAAAAACACGTTGGAGACAATGCATAGGGAATGAGTTCAGCTTCCTCTGGACTCTGTGCACTACAGGAGTGTGCTCAGGACACACGCTCTATTGACCTGGATCTTGGTACAGTGGGGTCTTGACTTAAGAACGGCCCGAGTTAAGAACATTTTGACTTAAGAACCGCTCTCATAGGAAAATATTGGCTTGACTTAAGTACTTAGATTTGAGTTACGAACTGAAAAAACCCATGTGGGAAGCAGGGAAAGTGCAAAATGTGAACTTTCAGTTAACTGTTGGCCAGTGAAAAGGGTGCCTGTCTGCTTCCTCACTCCTCCCAGCGTTTAGAGAGTGGATTGGGAGACAGTCTTCGGACTGCCTGGTACTGTACTGCCTGGACTGTATTTTCCCTGCCTTCCCTGAACCTTTCTTGACCTAAGAAAAAAAAGAAACAAAATATCCCCCTCTAGTGGTCGAAGGCGGAATAGCAGCTTCCCATTAGTTTCTATGGACGGAAAAGAGTAGCTACGGATCAAATGGTTTTCAATGCATTCCTATGGGAAATGCAGATTTGACCTGAGAACTTTTTGACTTGAGAACCGCCTTCCAATACGGATTAAGTTCTCAAGTCAAGACCCCACTGTATATGCCATCAGCTTCTTATTGAGCCATACTCTCTTTATAAGTCTAGAGAACATTGTAGCTGTTTTGCATTTATGCATTTATCCAGCTCGACATCGATTCATTTATGCATTTATCCAGCTTGAAATCTAGGGAGACAGTATCAGAGATCGTTGAGCCAAGGTACACAAAGTCATGAACAACCTCCAATTCTTGTGTGGAGATGGTAATAGAGGGAGGTGAGTCCACAACCTGGCCCATGATTTGTGTTTTCTTCAGGCTGATTGTTAGTCCAAAGTCTTGGCAGGCCTTTTAAAAATGATTCATGAGTTGTTGGAGGTGTTCAGCAGAGTGGCGAAAAGGAAGTCCCGCATGCATTTCAGTTGGACTTTGGCTTTGCTCTCAATGTAGAAAGATTAAAGTGTTTTCTGTCTGATCTAGTCCGGAGATAGACACTTTCTGTTGCAGTTCCAAAGGCGTGCTTCAGCATGACAGCAAAAATGATCCCAAACAGAATAAGCACAAGGACACAGCCATTCACTTCACTTTGGATGTCAAAGGGATGTGATGTTGAACCATCAAAAACTACAGTGCCCTTCATTTCCTCATGAAAGGACCTGATGATGTTAAGGAGTCGAGGTGGACATCCAATCTTGGGCAGGATTTTAAAAAGACCATGCCTGCTAACCAAATCAAAGGCCTTTGTGAGATCTATGAAGGCCACAAAGAGTGGCTGTCATTCTTCCCTACATTCTCCTGCAACTGTCTGAGGGAAAATACCATGTTGGTAGTGGATCTATTAGCTCAAAATCCACACTGTGATTCTGGATAAACTCTTGTCTGCAAGTATCTAGAATCTCTTCAGCACAACACAGGCAATCAGCTTCTCTACAACGCCGAGAAGAGAGATGCCACAGTAGTTTTTGCAGTTGCTCCTGTCTCCTTTGTTCTTATACCGATGGTATCAGAGTACAAGAATGACACCAATTTCAGGGGAGTGTGGGATAGGCCATGTTGCCATAAACAGCAGTTAAAACCATTGAATGAGACCAGGGAATATGATGTTGGCTTTGTGGTCAGAAATACTCTGCCAAGATCCATTGTTCCACCTACTGTGGGGAGTGAAAGAATCCTGTCTCTGAAGGTCCACTCATCAGCAGGACCTGTCACCCTCATTAGTGCATCTGCACCAACACTCTCAAAAATCCCTGAGATAGAGCCACAGTTCATTCTCAGAGATTTTAACACTAGAATTGGTGCTGATCACAATTCTTGGCCCACTTGTCTAGCCCGTTTTGGCATTGGGAAGATGAAAGAAAATAGCCAATGCTTGCTGGAGTTTTTCTGTTACTATCATCTTTGTGTCAGCAACACGTTCTTTAATACAAAGGTTCATCACAAAGTTTCCTGGAGACATCCAAGATCGAAGCACATCCAAGATCAGCTCAATGTGATCCTCACTACATACAGTATTCTAGCCTTCCTAGTACAGTGGTGCCCCGCATAGCGACGTTAATCCGTTCCGGATTAATCGTTGCTATGTAAAAACATCCCTAAACGAATCAAAAAACCCCATAGGAACGCATTAAACTTGGTTTAATGTGTTCCTATGGGGCCCCAAACTCACCGTTTAGCGAAGTTCCTCCATAGCGCCGCCATTTTCGCGCCCTCGGTAAGCGAAGGCAGGGCGCGAAAACACTTGCGGTGGCCATTTTGGGTGTCTGGCGGCCATTTTGGAACCGCCAAACAGCTGTTAAAAAAACATCACAATGCGAAGATCGGTAAGCGAAACGCTTACTGATCATCGCAATGCAAGTTTTTGCCCATTAAAACATCTCAATGCGATCAAATTAGCGATCTGAAAAAACAGATCGCTATGCGGATTCATCGTGAAACGGTGCGCTCGTTAAGCGAAGCACCACTGTATTGCGATCACACACATCAGGATGCTGATTGCAATACCGATCACTCCCAGGTGTGTAGTAGAGCAAAACTGTGAACAAAGTGAATGTATCACACAAAAGTGAGGAAGACCACGTACTGACATCAGCAAGATTTGCAATCAAAGAAAAGTGGAGGAATTTGTCCAAGTGTTTGAAGAAATGCTTCCAGGCCCAGTTGATGCAAACGCACCTGAACGATGGGAACATTTCAAGAACGCTGTTTATAACACCACCTTGACCACATTTGGCAAGAAGACGAAAAAGATGTCAGGCTGGTTCAAGCCCATTCAGAGCAATTGATGCCAGCCATCGAGGAAGAGGGTAGAGATTCAGCACTTCTATATTCAGATAGCAGCGGACACAGGCAACATCAAGGGAAGGTATGATGGTATCCAGTAGGCTTTAGATCCTATACAGAAGAAATTTGCTCCTTTGAAGTCTACTGCAGTTGTGATCATCTAGGACAGAGCACAGCAGATGGCACGCTGGGTGCAGCACTACTCTGAGCTATATGCTAGAGAGAATGTAGTAACCGAAGAGGCATTAAATAACATCGAGTGCTGCCTGTCTTGGAAGAGATGGACAGTGAAACAACTTTAGCAGAAATAAAAGTGGTCTTGAATTCCCTCGCCTCCAGCAAGGCACCGGGGAAGGATAACAACCCTGTTGAAGTGCTTTAAAGAGATCATCAGGGCTGTATCCTCAAGCCAATCCTGTTTGATATCTTTTTTGCTGTCATGCTGAAGCACGCCTTTGGAACTGCAACAGAAGGTATCTATCTCCAGACTAGATCAGGTGGAAAGCACTTTAATCTCTCTAGATTGAGAGCAAAGAACAAAGTCCACCTGAAATGCATGCAGGACTTCATCTTCGCCGATGATGCAGCTGTTATTGTCCACTCTTCTGAAGACCTCCAGCAACTCATGAATCGTTTTTAAGTGGCCTGCCAAGATTTTGGATTAATAATCAGCATGAAGGAAAAACAAGTCATGGGCCAGGACGTGGACTCACCTTCCTCTATTACCATCTCCACACAAGAACTGGAGGTTGTTCATGACTTTGTGAACCTTGGCTCAACAATCTCTGACACTCGCTCCCTAGATTTTGAGCTGGATAAACGCTTTTACAAAGCAGCTACCATGTTCTCTAAAGAGAGTATGGCTTAAGAAGAAGCTGATAGCATATACCAGGATCCAGGTTTATAGAGACTGTGTCCTGAGTACATTCTGTACTGTCATGAAAATGGTTGAAGGTCAGATTCCAAAAGATCTCCTGTATGGAGAATTAGTGCTGGGAAATCTCCCCAGATGGAGACCACAGGTGCGATACAAGGATATCTGCAAGCATGATCTGAAGGCTTTAGGAATCAACCTCAACAGATGGGAAACCGTGACATCTGAGTGATCAGCCTGGAGGCAGGTGGTGCATCATGGCCTCCCCCATTTTGAAGAGACCCTTGTCCAGCAGGCCAAGGCAAAGAGGCAGTCCCAAAAGCAGGAAAATCAGGGAGCTGGACAGGGGACAGATTGTATTTGTCTTCAGGGAGGAAGGGATTGTCACTCTGGAATTGGCCTTCTCAGCCACACTAGACACTGCTCCAAGTCCTCTATTCAGAACATGTTACCATAGTCTCTCAAGACTGAAGGATATTTTTCGATTGTACCAATTACTTTGATGTAGTTGTCTTTTATCAAAGTATTTTTTAAATCTGAATTCCTAGGTATTTAAGTTTTTTCCCTCTTTAAAACCTGCCATTTCCACTAAATTTTGGATCTGGGCCTGGCGCTCACCATGGAGACCCAGGTGTTGTCACATTGCACACATTTCCACCTTTGGCGGATTGCCCAGCTGTGTCCCTATCTTGATATGGGATTGCTCACCACTTTGGTCCATGTGCTTGTACTCTCAAGATTAGACTACTGCAATGCACTCTATGTGGGGCTGCCTTTGAGACTGTTGTGGAAACGTCAGATAGTACAGAATGCAGCGGCCAGACTTCTTACTGGGGTGAAAAGGTACCAATATATTTCCCCACTCTGGCAGCCTTGCATTGGCTTCCCATTCATTTCCATTTTGATTTCAAAGTTCTTACAAATTACCTATAAAGCCCTAAATGGTTTAGGACCTCGGTATCTGGCAGAGCGCTTTCTCCCACCCAGTTTTCCCAGAGTTACTCTTTCCAGCCAGGCTGGGTGGCTGAGGGGGCGTAATGCCGAGGAAGGTCCGGAAGGAAAGAATGAGGAACCAGGCCTTTTCGACAGTGGCCCCTTGCCTCTGGAACAGCTTCCCAGTGAAGATCCACCTGGCTCCCTCTCTGGGTGTTTTCAGGAATAAACTTACAACCTTGCTATTTGGGCAGGCTTTCCCTCTTGCCATATCTTTATTTCTTATACTTTTGCCACCTTGGATTTATAATATATAAAGCCTGTAAATCTTGAGGTGACCTGTGATAGTGGTTGCCCTCATATGGAGAGCTTTGCAACAAAAGTATGTGTGGGCAAGTTTATTGGTGAGGGCCAAGGCAAAAGCAGTAGGATTTCAAGGAAGAATGCAGTCATAGCTGTTCTGGAGGAGTGGAAGAAACTGCCTACCCTTCCCACAGTTGAGAAAGCAAAGTCACTAATTAAAAAGATGATGTTGTCACTCCAAGTGTGACACAGAGATCCAGGAAGCACTTTTTAAAGGCCATGGCGGGAGGGAGAGCCTTGGACTTTTGTGGGGGGGAGGCTCTTGGGAGGATGTGTGAAGATCAGAAGATGCTTCCAGGCATCTGCGACACCTCCAGGTTCCTCATCACTGCAAATGAGGAGCTCCCAAGCAGAAACCAGAGGCAGAGGCCATCCTTCTGCCACTCTGGCCACTTCCTTTTCCTGGCAGGTAGCAATGGGAGGCAGAGGCCGTCCTTCTGCCACTCTGGGCACTTCCTTTTCCTGGCAGGTTGCCTTTGAGGAAAGGAAACCCTTGGCAGGGAAGCCAGCCATCAGTTGCCACCCCTCTCTTGCACCCCTAAGGTCTTTGTCGAAGATTTTGTCTTCTCCCAGAGAATCCCTCCTCTTTTCCCAGAAAGCAAAGAGACAGGGAGATCCAGCTCACCCCACCCCACCCCACCAGAGCTGATGGTGTCTCTTTCGTTCTGCCAGGCCCCTCTGCTTCTCCCCTGTATTGCTCGCACCCATAACTCAGAGGGCAGATATGTGTGTGTTCGTGGGGTGGAGAAGAAGGGGGGATTGGGGGGGAGAGAGCGAGAGGGAGGAAGAAGCCAAAGGGGGGGCTCCTAAGAGGGAAAGGGGGTTTCCTCTCGGGCGTTTCTGGGAGGCGTCTCCTGCGTTCGGGAAAGCAACAACGCTTTTTGGGGGGGGACATGAGAAAAGACACCCGCCCCCTCCTTTGAAGAAAGCACCAGCTCTTTGTGTATGTGTGTCTGTATGTGTGCATTCATGCAACCTAGAATTTATCCTAATCTCTCTTCTGTGCCCCTCCCTCCTCCACACCCCTTGCATCCTGCAGCCACCACCCCCTTGTGTCTGGAAGCTCACCCCACGCTCCGCCCCACAACAACCCCCGCCTGCATTCTGGAAACTCCCTCCCACTTGTGTTCTGATGCCCCGCCCCGGCCCCGCCCACTCCACCTGTGAAGGCCGGCATTGGAGAACAAAGGGGGAATAGAGAGGGAAGAAAGGGGTAGAGCGTCTTCCCGATGGAAGCGGAAGCAGTTGGGGTCACGTGCTTTCCTCCCCTCTGCCTTTATGATCACCGCCCTACGCATTGGGACGGCGGTGGTCTGGCCGGGAGTTTCCTGCCTCTGGAAGGTGGTGAGCCTTTTGGGGGGGGGGAAGAGGAGGGGGAGGGGGCGTGGAAGGCTTTGTCTTTGTAGGCATGGAGTGGGGGGGTATTTTAGAAAACAACCCCATTCCGCGTTCAATCTGCTCGCCAACCGCTCCACTTTTCATGCTTTTCAGGAATGCCGTGGTTTGATCGCCTGG